CCAACACATATTAGAAACTCCGTCATCAAATCATATATATACTGTCAAGTCTCAACATAATCACTCGAATCGGATGACAAGAAATACAGTGTAAGGCTCAACGGGCTGCTAATGGAAATATAATCTCAAGGGTCAATGGAAAAGGAAAAAAAACGAGCTATATCAAAGAAATGCCTCTATCATATTCACAATTCACTACTTCAATCAATTCATTTCAAAATAAACTCAAAGCAAGTTCTGATTAACAAGAATCCAACCAATATCTCTCAAGAAACAAAATAAGGCTCAAACCTCTCATAGGGTGAATAAATGTCCAACAAAACGCAACATCAAGTTCATCAAGGCATACTAATCATGATCATGATCACATCTCCTCAACATCATCAACAATCCTCAACAAATCTCAAAATCACTATTATCCATACTCGAGAAACACACAAGCTGACTCAAGAAAAGACACTCAAATGAAAATAGAAAATGAAAACAACCTACAAGACCTAGACCTGATCAACCATATAAGCACATAAGCATGCAAAAACTCCCCCACACTTAAAACCGAACAATGTCCCCATTGTCGATCATCAGTGCGAGGAAATTTACCCATATAATCAACCAACAAGAAGAAACCAAGACACAAAACCAAAAACGAAAATAAAGAGAAAGGAAAGGATACAAACGTACAGGGCATAGTGACTAGACCAGTCACTGTGAATCCGGTGGTGCAGGTGGAGGGTGGAGGAAGTCAGGCCCCGAACAGTGGTGGGCCTCCATTAGCTCAAATCTCTCGCCCCATTGGGATCGGGGCAACTCTCTGGAACTCGGCTGGGGTGGTGTAGTGTGGCGGTCAGTCCGGCATACTTTCTCAACACAAGCTCGGTCCTGTGAAGACCTCTTCGCATAAGCTCTCTCACACGCTTCGGCAACCAACTGCTCGATCGCCCTAATGGACATGCATTCCTCCACCAAATGTGCCTGCGGCTCAGGCTTGGTCTCTCGAACGGAAATGGCGACGGACTCGCCCAGCACCGTCATGTTCAGCGTCCAACTCTTGACGTCGATCATTGTGTTCGTGGTTGCCATGAACGGTCGCCCGAGGAGGATGGTGTGACTCATCTCATTCTCTTGCACTTCTCCCACATCTAATACGACGAAGTCAACAGGCACAATCAACTTCCCAACTCGAACAAGTACGTCCTCTACAATTCCCTCGGGTTGACGGAGCGAGCGGTCGGCGAGCTGTATGCGCATTCTGGTGGGCTTCAAAACGTCGAGCCCAAGTCGCCGATAAATAGAAAGGGGCATGAGATTTATGCCTGCTCCAAGGTCGAGCATCCCCGAGGCCTTCTTCTCACTCCCGAAGGCTATATCAATCACGAATCCCCCGGGATCTTTTTCTTTCTGTGGCAAGTCGTGCCTGAAGAGACTGGCTGCCTCGCATATAATCACCCCATCGTCACTCTCTACCCGCCTCTTACTCGTTTCTACTTCCTTGCAAAATCTTGCGTAGGCCGGGATTTTCTTCATCACGTCGGGAGGAGATAAATCAACGTTGGCCTTAGCCAACATGGCATGGAGGTCTCGCATCAGCTTACGGTCCTTCTCCTCCAGAAGACGACTCGGGAATGGGATCCTCGGTCTGTATGGGGTCGGGGCCCTGTGTAAAGTAGGCTCAGGTGACGGTATAACTAGGGTCTGTGCTTTATGTTCTTCTTTCTTTGGGCTCTTTAGCTCGGGCAAGATCACTGTAACCGACTTTGCGTGCTCCGGCTGGCTCGGCAACTTCCCTTTATCCATTTCAGTCTCAATGTTCCCCACTCGTGTGGCCAGCTGGCCCACTTGCGTCTCG